TACTAAGTTAACTAAAACATTAACTTGTCTTTGTTACCCTCTTATTTTACTTATTTAAAAACCCTATTCTACTAACCCAAGTAGCTAGTCCTTAAGCTACTAACCAAACCTTCTTACAGCCCATCTTCTAAGATTTCTTAAAAGTCCCTTGTAAACAGGCAAGTGAGGCTTTAGAGTACTCAAGCAGATTAGTAGGTGGTCTTCAAATTAGTCCCCCACAAACACCAGGATAGCTTGGTTGAAAGGCTAATCCAGTGAACCCTGGAAAGAAAAGATTGGAAAAACCAAATCTAAGTATTCCATACTATACCCTTCTTGCTTTTAGTTTAGAACTTCAGACCAAACTCCATTCCCTTTTATCAAGAATTAACCTTCTAGGATTCTCCTAGAATCTTTCTTATACCAAGTCTCATTATATTTTACTTACTTTTCTTATTCTAACCTTTTCTTTACAACAGTGTCTGGCAAGGCTTCTGAAGCCAGATGGATTCATGAGGCTTTTTCTTCTCTAATAAATTTCTAATAAATCTGTGATATGCAAAAACACTGTGTGGTATGTTTTGATGGTCTGAATTCTAGTGTCCAATGTACTAAAATGGGCACAAACATGCTTACTGCCATTCACAAGGTTATTTTTTCCATTGTAAGCTGCGTACACACTGTAATTCACCAAAATATTTACAGAGACTTATGAACATATTAGAAATCATGTAGAGATATATGAGAGCCTGGTTGACTGCTCTCAACAGAGTGGAAGTGGTGATGAAGGCAGACAGCGCTTTAGCACTTATTAAGTGCTTATATGGACTGGGCAATGACTAACAACTGCTTCAGTAAAAAAGCCCTTAACAGCACAGCTGCCACTAATACTTGGAAGTGCATCACATGAGAACACACTGACCGAGCCAATAAATGGCTCATGGATAGTGGGGTTTTAGTGGGTAGTAGGCCACCCGATTGTCCTTCTCTCCACATGGGAGTAGGCAGCCAGATTAAAGACCCTTAGACATGTATATGACTGCTAGATTCTGAGTTCCACACTACGTGCATAAATGCATTTTCTTGCGATAGATGCTGGGTGAAGACACTCAAAACATCATGCTGGCAGCACAGGGCCTGAAAATAACTTAGTTGCTGCCCACCAAATAGCTCTTCCAAAAAAAGAAAAAATTACTTTCTTCACTAGCTTGATACCACAGTTACTGCATGTTGTATTGGCTATTTGTCTTGTGTTGACATGTGACCACTCTAGTGGAGTTCTCTCATAAACAGATGCTTTGCCTTTGTTATCTGTATAGAAAGCATACTGGAAGCAAGTTAGAATAGGGCATGTTTTTGCTTTTACCAATTTTCTAACTGGTCCCACATAATGTGCACATGTATTCCTTGTGTCAAAAGTCCTTTGATGGTTCAAGCATATAGCCACACAGCTCATGAATCTCAGTACCCTCATTGATATGCAGTGGAAACTCTACAAGGTCTATCTCATGTAGCTTAGCTTTAATTGAATCTCTGGCAGTATTCAAACACAAGTCCTTTCTTTCTGCTGACTTGCATGCTTTGACAAGTGAGGTTAATATAGATAGTTGGTTTGAAGTCAACTTCCAAGTTAATTGGACTGGATTATATAGTGCTTGAAGCAGTATAGCAAACAGACTATTATAGGCACAGCTAGAATTATTGCAATCAAAACCCCACTTCTGAGCGGTCATGGCATTGTTTAGATCAAATTTGAGCTACTTCAGTTTAGTGGTAATAACTCCAGCCTTTTCTGCTTCAGTGCTCAACCTTTTTCGCTTTTTTACAAGCTTCTTGCCATTGCTCAATGTCTTTAAAGTTGTTATACCCTTGGCTGCCACAAATACTCCAGGATTTGTTTAACTTTTCCTTGCAGTTTGAGTAGTCTAGATGTTATCCTTTTGCTGAGAATTATCTTTCTTTGATGACTTGTTGGCTACAATTCTTTAGCCTTCTTCATCCTCAAACTCACAGCTTGGCCATAGCTGTTCCTTTAACTATCTGATATGCTTGGGCATGCTGTTGGATACAAAGTCATCTTCCATCCACTGTCTGTATGTGTAGATCACCTGCTTCCTTGTTACTCTACCAACACTTGTAGAAATTTTCCTATGGTACTGTAGCCTTGTGACCTCATTGTCATGGGCGTAGCCCTGGCCTCCTATTATTTTACCATTTTCTCCGATTTTCTACAATTTATTCTATGTTTGTACAACTCTCCAAATGTCATCAGCACATTAGTGCCAGTTTACAAGTTCTAGCCGTGCACTAAACACCTCGGGTATGCATCACCAACAGACACGCATCAGTGTATCAAACGTGCCTACATTGCCACTGCCTCATCACTGCATCACACTTCTTTGGTAACAGCCACGCTCCAATTATCATCAGACCTTTTATCTCTGTGTCTAATCAGCAACGGACATCTGATTCCCATTAGCCCGACAATATCAGATGTCATGACATATTGGCCCTGTTTTCCCACTGAGTCTCTTAGATACTAGCAAATGCCGTAGCCACAGTCACTTAGGTAATGCCTGGTTTGTGTGCAACCAGAACAGTATATAAAAGCTCTCTCTGTTGCTATTTAGTCCCTATCTCAACCTCTTGATTATTGGGCTAAGTAAGCCTTCCTCTATATTGTAGTATAGTTGCTAAATACAACTTGGTTATTGGGCTAGCTAAACAAGTAAGTACAATCATCGCAAGACTATGCTCTGCGCTGCCTTTTGTTAGATCCACATTGCCATCTCTTGTGCTGTGTCAATATCAGTCCGCAATACTCATATAACACCTCTAATTCTCTGTATTTTTGATGCAACTAGCCTGATATACCACTTCTAATTGCACATTTTCAGAGAGCGGTTGTCTTATTAAGTAAAGGTTGGGGGTTCAATTCTGACTGGGGAATCATTTTTATTTTGATGATTTTTGGTTTTGAAGGTTAAAATAATGTGATATCATGGCAGATAGTATGACCATATATTTTTAAAGATATCTCTGAGTGTTCTAAGATAATAGAATGGAGTAGAACAGCTACTAAGTGTGATAGCTTGAAGAATTAAACTTCATGTACAAGATAATGACTATATGCTTGATTATAAACTTGTATATCTGAAAATGCGCAATATTGTGGTCTAACACTTTCAAGGCATAGTGAAAGATGCTTTCAAAATATTTGTGCAGATTATGAACAAGTATTGACCTGCAGAGGAATGCAAAAGTACTGAGCATATGACGCATTTCTAGTAATTCCAAACAAATTGCTATAATTCCCCATATATTTACACCAGTACCACACAGTATGTTTAACCATAATCCAAAGCTACAAGTAATTTTAGTTGCTATAAAGCCTACAATTCACTGCACAACACTGTGCATTGAAGTTCAAAGCCAGTAGCAAGTATTTTGTCTTCAAAGTATAGCTTTAAACTATTCTCATACTGAGTACACAGCTAGTATATATACAGCAGACTTCATGCTACATGATATAAATAAATACAAATGTGTGAGAAATGGTGGAAATGCTGAAGAAAGCAAATCGTAGTATGGCGCTTATTGGGCGCTTAATTTGACATTTTCTCGAACTTTGTTTTCTTTAGTTTATTATTTTAAACAATTAATTTGTTGTATCTTTTTATATATTCTGAACCCTCTCAACGTGTTCTATCTGATGGTATAAACATTATCTAGATGTTGTGCCTTTGGAAAGTGGTCTATGTGTGAAATTTGCCTAAGTCTCCAGCTCAAGCATAAAACACAGTGCTAAAGAGCCAAAACTGGCCTGTATATAATCAAAGAATTTTTAACATGTTGATCTATGCTAGGGTCATCATGTATATACCAAGTTTCAAGTCAGTAGCTCAAGTATCAAAGGAGATAGAGAGTTAGGCAGATTTTAGTCTGAAAGTAAACTAGCTCTCAAAGTGCTTCTTCTAACAGAACATTTCTTCATTACATTCACCAATTGTAAAAAAGCATATATGATATTTGAATTAAAAGTGGTTTATTTAGCATATTACTTCAAAATGCAGGTGGCAGATAGTTTAGCCATCCTGTGCTTCATTCAGCTTTTTGGTCTGCTTGACAATGTACCTACAGTAACAATCTAAAGTATTGCAACAGACTACAGAGAGGTGCTAAGATTCCTCAATATCTCCACAAATATTACAGATGGCTAGATATATTGTATGTGATTTCTAAACTAGACAACTAGCTGTATTTTTTCAAGGTATCGCTCTGTAGCAGAAAATGTATGCTAGAAGAGTATATCAAAAATAGCTGAAAATATGCATATTTACTATATAATTTGTAGTATAATACAGACTATCAAACAAAATTGACTTTGCACATAATAAAATGGAGCTAGTTGTATAGTATGTGTACAAAGATAATGATGTGATTAGGCATCCATCTAAATGAACTGTAGAGCATGTCACATTTGTTGCAACATGCAACAGTGTATAATCAAGTGCTGAAGTTCTTATATTTTGCTACTATATATCTTCCCTGGTAAATTACATACTGTAAACAGATTTTGGGAAACTTTTCTCTCCACATTATAGAGTTAGATATGTACAAACTGCTACAAGAAAAACAAGTCAATGTGATATGCTCTACAGGTCATTTAGATGGATGCCTAATCACATCATTATCTTTGTACACATACTATACAACTAGCTCCATTTTATTATGTGCAAAGTCAATTTTGTTTGATAGTCTGTATCATACTACAAATTATATAGTGAATATGCGTATTTTCAGCTATTTTTGATATACTCTTCTAGCATACATTTTCTGCTACAGAGCGATACCTTGAAAAATACAGCTAGTTGTTTAGTTTAGAAATCACATACAATATATTTAGCCATCTGTAATATTTGCGGAGATATTGAGGAATCTTAGCACCTCTCTGTAGTCTGTTGCGATACTTTAGGTTGTCACTGTAAGCTTCTCCTTCTAGCTGCTTGCAGTCTTTAGGTTCACTTTGCCTTTGCTATTTTTGCCAGGTGGTCTTGAAACCAGGCTTTATTCTGAGCTGTCCAGTAGCCTAGATCAAGTTCAGAGTTCTTCCATAGAAAAGATGTGGGCCACCAAAATACAATCTTGACATCGCTGGTCTCAGTGTAGTCTATCAGATTATCTATTTGCTTATGGAACATTTTTGAAGGTAATGATTAGACTTAAAAGTGAGCATCATAGAAACACCACAGATAAGGTCCAGTTTGCTAGAAGACAGCACATTATCCATATACTCGACCTGTGTTTGATCTCTAGTGACAACATGTATTAATGTGCTGTGGAACGGGCCCTGTAGAAGATTGTCTTTGCTGAAATCATCCACATTGAGCCTTCAAACAATGCTGCCAGTGCATAGTGTAGCACAACAATGAGACAAATTTAGCAGCACACGCTTAGCTTTGCAGTATTTGTAGTAGTCTTCCAAGATGAACTTGTAATTCGTAGGTTGGAAGCCCAGACTCCATCAAATAACTGAAGGCTGCTGGGAATATGCACTGTACTACATTACAGCAATTGTATAAAAGAACATGCCAAGAACAAGGAGCCGCCTAGTGAGGCCCTCTATGGTTGCATTCTTTGTGGTGGAGCTGAGATGAATATGTGAGCAGCATCTGTGGGAGAGAAAATGACAATGTTCCAAGGTCACTAAATGCCAGGTCTTGATGGGTGTATTACTATTGGACACTCCATATTGCCAGTAATTCTTATGTTGTATCACTGCTCCAGGACTCTCCAGCCATATGCAATTGGGATAGCAGTCATGAGAAGGCCAGAGCTGCACAAGCTTGCTCTTTGAAGACTGTATGCAGCAAGCAGAACTAATTGAGTCATCTTTGACTAGAGTAGTGATGAAGTCTCTAATTGCATTCTGAATTGGAAGGTGGTTTGGAGCTTGGCTGGAGAGAATCTTGAGTATGGCACAAAACTTGCTAAACGATAGCCTGCCAGTTGCAAGATCCTCTCCAAAGACCGGGCAGTAGTCTGACTTTAATCTGAAGCCATAGCGACTACGCAGCGTAGATGCCACTTCGCCATTGTACTCAAAGTGAACACTGTCTCCCTGAAGATCTTGAATGCAGATGGATGACAGTCTGTGCACAGCTTGGATGGTCTCTGCATTGAGTTCACTAGGTGGAAGGGTGAGAGGCCTGCTCTGAACACTTGTTGAGCTCTTATTATACTGTTGCTGAGCCCACCTATATTTTTCGTACTCCCTCAGGCTGTTCCTGTGCTTCTGCTGCCAGTTCTGATAGTCCAAACTTGAGTATTCGCCGCACCAGCCATTCTCTTTCGTGAACTCCAGATAGCTTTGATAAACGTTGTAGGTAGGCACAGTGGGGTCAAAATTGTAGCAAACATTATATTCATTGTGGGTGGATACTATTGTAAACTCTCATGGCTAGCGTAGTGACTTCTTACAAGCTCTCCATTCAAGGTTGCTGATGGGCACAGAGACCCACTGGTCAGGAGAGATCTCCTCTCACTCGAAGACTCGTGGGTCTCACCGTCTGGGAACTGGCTGACTGAGCTGAGATTGCTCATGATGAAGGCACCGTTCACGCTGGTCAGGTGTTTCACGCACGATCCACTCAGCTCTACGCTCTTACCGTGGAAGCAACCAGTCTTGGGGAGACAGGGGTGGTGAAGGCTTCTTTAAGCTTTTCAAAGCCTGCCGAAGTTGCTGCTGTTTACACTGATGCTCTTGCTCCTTCTGGTCTTGTAGCCACTCTTGCTACTGCTGCCATGTGACTGAAGGCACCATTTCAGTGCTGCAGGAGCGATAAGTGTCACAGGTAGAGACAGAACAGGCCTCACGGCTGGTTCTGTAGCACACTCAGAATAGTATGCAGCGGAGATTCAGAAGAATAGAGATGCTCGTCTGCCACTGTTGCCCTCCAGGCTTAGAGCTTGTAGTGGAGTAGACATTGACATAGGCCCTCACTCGTAGTACAGACCAATTGCAGACCCATGAGTGTTTTATGGCCTTCAAGAAGATGGAGGTAATTTTTGTATGCCCTTAAATTAGATGGAAGAGATCGCGACCCTCGTGCCACAAATGTGCGACCAGGTACAAGACTAACGCAAGCTGCGCCATGAAGGACAGCCGTGCTAATTGTATTACCTGGTGTATCTTGCCTTCGTCATGAGACCTATCACAGTAGTTATAGCGGGAAGGTCGCATGTTCTCACATCAATTGTAGTACAAAGGAAGGTTGATGGTGATAAGACGTGAAATACCATAGATTAGGATTAGAACTTACCTTATTCTTTTGAAGCAAAAGAGGCATTAGTGCAAGGCTAGTGATTGAAAGGTATCACTTGCAACTCTAAGCAAAGGCTCTGATACTCAAGCCATGCAGGCTGAAACACTTAGTAGGCTACTAGAAACACTAGATCCCTAGTGTCACAGAGCTGCTACACAGCCAGCAGGCTTGAAACAGGTCTATTGCTAGACATAGCCCATAGCTACTGCTGAGCACTGCTAAGCATAGCCAAGCATAGCCGAGCATCTGTTGCCTGTAAGGACTTGAAATGCTGCACCTAAAACAGATTATATAGCCTAGCTATGCAATTTGAAAAGCTATTTCATACCTTTAGAAGGTGCTTCAGATAGGAATTGCAAATTGCCCTCAGTAGTATATAAAGACTGCAGTAGGTAGCATCCCAAAAACAGGAAGACCTTTGCACCCACTCAGCTGGAGTTTGAGGTGAAGCTGTTTCCTGAGCAACCAGCTCAGTAAGTATCTGTCTGTCTGTTTACTGACCTGTTTGTAGGTAACACTAGACTTCAACTGAAGGCCTAGATTAGTTATTACTTACCAAGTCTATAGGAGCCATTCTGCAGTGTAGCACTAAGCTTCAATTGGAAGCTTAGAATAGATGTTACCTGCCCTTGTATTGTAGCACTAGACATTACCCAGAAGTCTAGAACAATTGTTACCTACCATCATACTGTCTTCTGTGTAACACAAGTCTTCAACCAGACCCTTCAAGCACTTCATTTAAAAAGATCCAGTGGCATAATAAGCTCCATACTCCCCCACACAAATAACTGGAAAATCTGGACCTAATGTCTGATCTAGAGGACTTAGCGAATGGCTTGCTCCACCCAGAGTAACCATTCCTGACCCCGATACTGCGGTTGTAGTAACAGAGTAACGCCGTAGCTAGCTGAGGTTTGGCATCGGTGTCGTTAGTTGCTGGCACTAAGTCTTGAAGGTAGAGAAACACGTCAAAGACAATCCAGCCTGGAGCAGTGCTAGCATTAGATGGAACACGGGGGTTTTGGAGGCAAGCAACAGTGATGGTGAGAGCTGACATAGTGCGCAGGGGGCAATGCCAAGCACTGCATGCGATCCAGTTTAAATATGTGCACAGGCAAATCAGAGGTCAGTGAATGTCACTGACAATTCGAGAAATTCATAGAATAATTGCCAATACTGGTAATATTCCACTTCACTCGTCACTGAATTGTCTATGGGCTTCCAAATATTGACAAAAGGCTTATAAATCCAAAACCATTGCAGCAGTATGGCATCAAATGCAAATATTATACTACTACTGTAGAAGCACTTCAGAATACACTATGTTCATTAAGCTATGGCTTGAATTCCATTCTCCATGCTTAATAGCACCTGAAGCTCAAACAATTTGTTGCACAGAACAGTGCAACATAAAGCTTGCCGTGAGCAAACACGGGTGATTGTAGGTCAATTTCAACAGTCTTGACCGATTGGCCTTGAAACTTATTGATAGTCATTGCAAAAGTGAGGCGAATGGTAAACCGTCTTTGTTGGAGAGTGAACTCAAGCTCTGTAGTGTCACTTAGTGTTGAAGTGATGCAGAAAATGAGTGGTAAGTTCACCGTGATGATGGTCACCACCTATAATATGAACTTCGAAAGCACAGTCAAACAATCATTTGACAATCATTTGAGTGCCATTGCAGAGGCTGCATATAGGAGCAAGGTTACAAGGAGAATAATGGGACATCCGGGTTTTAAGTGTGAAATGGCTAGAGGGAGGTCGGAAGGATTGATTGATTGTAGAAATTCAACAGGAACTGGAGACTCTGTTGATGACTCGTCATGTTCCACAGAGTGTACACAAAAAGAATGTTGACTTCTGACCAGGAAATTGAGCAAGGATTTGCTTGTTAATGTTGTTTGCATCTTTATTGTGTGCTGAGAGAATCATGCAGTGAAAAAAGTAGTTCAGGCCAGGTGGTACTTGCTAGTTCAGACTAAGGTCAAGGCAAACAAGCGAAAGCATGTCTTTAATAGCATGAGCTTGCCATATTCAAAGGAATGTGGACTTAGCCTCAGTCATTGTTCGTTCTTCCATGCCTGATGTTAAGCAGCCACTGCACAAAGTCCTCTGCCCTTTCACTCCCACGCAAGTGCATATTCTCATGCAAGTGCTGGATATAAACTTGAGGCCATAGTGCAGACTTCTGCAAGCAAACATTGGCAATGTCTTCTCAGGACATTAGTAATTTCCTAGTGGGTCTGAAAGTGCTAGAGGTCTGGAAAGTGTCTGGTGGTACTGAGCACTGACATCAGTATCATCAGAACTACACGGCACCTTCAGAGTCATGTAATTACTCCAGAGCCTTAACTATGAACTCAGACGCCTGCCCACTGTTGTACTCAATGTGATCAGACTTTGTACAGGCCGTGAATGTATCAGTTGCCGCAGTCAGACTATGTCAGAAAAGTCTCTTCATGGCAAACGTGTATAGTTGTCTGTACATGTATACAGCAACAACGCACAGCCCAGTTTTCACAATAAAAATATCTAATTATGAACTACCCATGTGTTGCCTTTCTAGTAGCAACAGGAGTGCAATATCTGGTAGGCACTTGCTAAGATCAACGTGGTATGAAGTTCGATGAAATGTAAAAACAGTCTGTACACCGTGATGCGCATTGGCAATGCAAGCATACCATCCTTGTCTTTATCAGCCTCTATTGGAGAGTGACGTGAAAGTGTACATAGTTTACAAACCAAGAGCATAGATATGCACCTCGATGGCGAGTGCACAAGGAAATGCCCTGGAGTACTTGTCCAGACTCTGATCACTTGCACAGATCCCAGGTATAGCTTCTTCCCACTAGAGGAAGTTGTGTCAGAAACTTAAAATCACCCTGAAATCAGAGCGTGTATTTGCCTACACGCAGCATCAGTTCTGTTGGTAGTGCGCATGGCCTATGCTTGCATGTCATCTATCATTCATTGGCTGTTGCCCTTCTTGCACTGCATCCAGCTGTTGTGCTTACTGCCTACGGTTTTGCTGAGTGTGTTCTGCAAGATGAGTAATACACAGCACGAAGGTTCTGATATAGATAGCTGAGTTGTATACAGGAGAACTTGAAGTTTGCTAGATGATGGACTTTGTGTGACAGCAGACCACTCTCAAAGTTCATTGGAGTAGGTGCACTAGCACCGCCTTTTGTACAAGGAAGCAAAAGTATTGTGGGTGTAGCCCTGCTCTGCAACTTTTCTGCATTTTCTACAATTTTCCCTAGGGTTTTACGACACCTCTACTGTTATCGGTGCCCAAACCCTCGCGTTAGCACCAGTTTACTCCCACACTCTCGCAGTGCATCAGTGCACTCAGTGTGCCGACACAACACCGCCATCAAAGATGCTGTTACACAGCCTCCTGGCAGTCTTCATCAGAGTCTGATTGGCATCAAATGTCCGACTTACAGTAGCCTGATGACATGTCACCAGTGCTGACTCCCTTCCATTGGAGTCCGATCGGCATCAGATTTCTAACCTCCATCGGGCTGGATACATTAGACATTATGACTCACCAACTTCCATTTCTGCGCCGTTGCCCTACAAACCTCAGAACAGCCTTTTGGCACCTCTCAGTGGAAAGTCCAATCAGCACCGGACGTTCTGCCAACCCTAACCAGACCATATGTCATAGCAATACAATGGACATTCAGCCTCGGTTACATCAGCAATCCTGACAATTTGCCGGCCTAACTATGTCAGCTATCATGACACAACAGCCACATCATTGGCTTACTATCGCAATCGTACCGATGGTCCAGACTCCGTTGTCCTAGCAAATCCAGATCGGCCTAGCATAGTCAATACCTCTGACTCATCAGCTGCACACTCTCTATTGCCTCCCTTGGCACCCAATAGCAATGTCAGCATAGGTGACAGAATATTAACATATTTCAGATGTCTCCAAACGCACGGACATAAGTCTCAATCAAACATTATATGACAGCAGCCCAAATGTGTCATTATACATGACTTCCCGGCCCTATGACTTGCACTCTGATCAACATCGCGTATTCACTCTAGTGACAGCCCAAAAGCATAGTCACTTGACTACCAAGCCACTTGCACAAACTGTGACTAACACGCATCACATCAAGAGTCTATGACAGATGAGATGCCACCATATCGCAGGCTCAGAACTCCAACTTAAATGACACCTTGAACCTAGCTAGCAATAGCTGGACTCTAGCTTACCAGCATCAGTCCAGAAGCCCAAGCACATGGCTGCACACAACAAGCTCTCACCAAAAATATTGGATGCCCCTTTTACTAGTATCTAATCAGACGTTGAACATTCGCCTAAAAGCCACAGCCCGGACACGTCATCAGATATGACCCTTCGGCTCTTGGACTTACACAGCAACACTGTACAGCTGCCTACACAGCACAATCAATAAGCGCAGCCTAACACTGCCTCCTTTTCCACAGCCTTCGCACAGCTTACTACACAGGTCCACACAGCCAGCTTATGTCAGCCTGGTCTGTGCACAGCTTGTACAGTATATAAGCCTCAGGTAGTTGTAGTCCTAGTCTCATTTCGACCTCTTGGTCAATCAGGCTAGGTAAGCCTTCCAGTTACTTGTTTCATTTATCTTACTAACATATAATATACTTGGTCAATCGGGCTAGCTGAGTAAGTTTGTCTGAAGTTGTGGGACCACTGTCCACACCGCCCCCTCGTTGTTTTCCACTTATAATAGCTTCCTCATGGTGTCTGCACTGCAGTAGAACTTGCCAGAGTTGTAACTCTGCCATCAAAGAGGATGTCGGCCTAAGCTGCGAGCAGCTGGTGTCAGATTAGACAGTATTTGATTTCAGCGTGTGCAGATGTACCAGCTGCACAAATTTCCCAACCCTTGACAAGACCATCACCAACATCGCAACATTCACCATTTCTGTCTCTCCTGGCACAAACCATTGCAATCTGATGTTGCGAACACAGAAAACCAATTGTCTTGGTAGACACATTGATGTGGGAACAGATTCTTGTACCTTACTGCTGCTTGGCTTGAACATACCTGCCAGATGTTACTGCTTTATTTGTGGTCTTTGCATGGGAAATGTTGTCTGAACACTTGCTCTTCTGACAACTGCTCATGCACAACTACTCTTGCTCTGACTTGCTGTCTGGGGCAAGTACCATCAGCATCTGTATTAAATTTGAGCTTAATTGATTGTAACAACACAGTGGTCACTGCTGTAGATATCTCCAATGACAAATTTGTCAAGGATTGGCACTATGGGATGTAGCTGAGTGGTCAGAATCATCAACACTTGGCCCAAGTGGCATAGAACTGCCCGGAATGCCAGACCTTTCTCAAAAGTCTTACACAAAGCCGAGGCAACATGACTGCTGCCCACCAAATTCCTTTCAACATCTGAACGACCCTTTAAACAATCTGTTTGCATTTTCTGGGATGGCCTACCCTTAGCATCGTTTAGGTTTGAGAGTGGGTTATCATTTTTTGGGTTCATTATATCAGTTTTTGCTCAAGACCAGAAAGTGAGCTTGCTTCTGGTAGTTATCATTACCATTGGACCGAGAGCTGTGGCAGTGCTGCTTAGGCTGTTCTTTTGAAGTACATTCTTACAGTAAAAAAGAACAGTATCAACCTGTTTGATGTCCAGCTAAAGCACCATGTCACTGGATGACAAGTTATCTTTAGTGACCATCTCTTGCCAGTAAAGATCTGTACAAGTTGATTTACAAGTTGACCTGTCCTATCAGTTCAAGTACCCACTAACTGACAGCCTCAATGCTAACTCAGACATGCTTCAACTTGTGAGTTGCCCATACTCGCAGGTCAGGTCAGCAGGTACTTGTATCACCTGCATATGCTTCAATGATGAGTTATACAATGCCAGGATGTTCGGCACGTGCATGCATGAAGCAAGCGCAATGGCGCACACATATAAGGTGCTCTCCCTCTGCTACATTCTGTCTTGCTACTATCTCAACGATCAGCACTATTACCATGCTCTTTGCCATCACTCGCTATATTGCAGCAGAGACAAATT